AAAAGGGGCAAAAAGACATAACAACAGGCCAGGAGGCTCGCGTGAGTGCGAGCCACCAAATGGTGGCTCGCACCCATGCGAGTCACCAAATGGTGGCTCGTACAGCTCCGAGCCACCACGATGTATTTGGCCTCCCAAAACTTCCCAAAGCACGGATTTCGATGTTTTATTAGAATTCTTTCGTTCCAGGACCTCCCCAACTATTCTGAAGCTATCCTTAAGTGCGCATGGGAGGTTATCAACTGTAGATGACGTCAAAACACTTAATCTTATCAGAAAACACGACGACAAAAGCCTATAAATAGAAGCCCAGGGTATTCATTGGAGAGGATCTAAAATCTGAGAGTGAAGTGCTGTCCAATTGAAAGTAGACCACGAATTTCATAGGAGAATTGGCAGATCTTGGCGAACTTTTTCATAAAGAAAAAGCCTTCCAAAGATTTGAGATTCTCTCCCCCTCTTTCCTCCGAATCAAACTTTGTTTTGATCTCGAGAAGAGCCACAATCTCGCTTGATCGTGATTGTCGTTGCTGTAATTGTTTCCTTCATGAAACAAGAGCATAACTAAACTTATCAACCAGGTCTAATCCGTGGCGGTTTACGGACTAACACGTCCCCGACACAGGCAAAGATCCTACGCAAAGCAACAGGAGATAAACTACTGCTGTGTTTTGTTTTCATAAAGTTGTAATCTTTGCTTTTCTCATTATAAGAAGATCTTATAAAAAGATCGACTTTTCTTTCAGTTTGAACTTGTAATCGATAAACGGTGTAACAAGTTTGACAACAATAAAAACAATAACTTTTGACGAAAAAAGTCACATCCCATAGCTATAGGGGGAGTATGCTACTCCTTACTCCTATCAGTAGTCACATCCCACAAATTAAGGGATGACTCATGTCATTCCTTGCCTATTTATAGGGCCTCTTTGCCAACATGAAAGAAGTTCAGTAGAAGGGGATCTAGAGGCCTAATTCAATGGGCTTGCATCTTGCTGCTAGCAATATTTCTTTAAGAAAGCTTGGCATCTCCAAGGCTCTTCCAATAGAGGCTCTCTCATTGGCTTGCTTGGTAGAACTCTCCTAGCTTTTTGCTTGGATTGATAAAGTAGACTCAATCTGAACTCTCAGATTTGTGATTCTCGGCTCTTTGCAAACTCTTGCATATTAGCTTTCTCCAAGCATTCAGCCTTGACACTCATCAAGCTCGGGTATAATTAAACTCAATCACCTCGGAGCTTCTACTGCGTACTAAAGCTCAACCGTAATTTCTATCGGATCGTCCAAGGGAAGCAAACTCGACACAAAGCATCGAGGGAGGCATCCTATCGCTACCGAAGAACCAACGTTAAACAAGGAGGACATTCTCTCCGCTTCTGTTGTAAATCTTGGATTTCATTAATTTGTAATAAGGCATTCTTATCAACACAAATCTCGCATCGAGATCCAATTTTTACTCCCCTACAGACTAACATGGAAAACACCCTTTTAAAGCGAAGTGATGACAACACATTAAAGATAGGGAAAATTGTGTCAATAGTAATAACTTCATGTGACTTGACCCCTCTAACTTTTTCTCATGTACTACAGCCACTAAATTACAGATCTATGTGATTCAGTCATTTTTTCATATAATTATCATGCCACCTAATCAAAAAGAGAGAGAAACAAATATAAAAGCTCAAAATACCCTCTTCCTCTTCTCTCTTTCTTTTCTTCGATCTGTATCTGGTCCTCCTTCCTCCTCTCCTCTCCTCCTCTCTCCTAACCCATTTACTTCCTCCTCTATCTCTTCCTCCTTTTTCTCTCAAATGCTGACATTCCCCTCCACCACCGCTGACCTTAGGTGCACGCTCCGGCCATATTGTTCGCTCCTTTTCTCCCACTAAGTTTCCTCGATCTTTCTTTCTTTCCTCCAAAACTAAAAAAAATTCGAATCATCTTTGTCTATGAACAAGGAAGCTATAAGTAATGCAACTATGAATATCATGGAGAGTTCGATCTTGGCTTTGGATGAACGCTAGCGGCATGCTTAACACATGCAAGTCGGACAGGAAGTGGTGTTTCCAGTAGCGGACGGGTGAGTAACACGTAAGAACCTGCCCTGTGGAGGGGAACAATAACTGGAAATGATTGCTAGTACCCTGTAAGCTGAGGAGCAAAAGGAGGAATCCGCCCGTTACTGCATTCATTAAGAGTGAATAAAGTAAAGTAACAGGTGGTTTCCTAAGGTTTTTCCTTACCCTACTATCAATTCAATTCGTGCCAGCTACGCTTTCTCTTCTAAAAAAGTCTAATTTAAATCATGTTAAGTCTAATTAAACTTGTTTTAAGTCTAATTTTATGTTAAGTCCAATCTAATTCATGTTAGTTTTATGTTAAGTCCAATCTAATTCATGTTAAGTCTAATTTAAATCATGTTAAGTCTAATTTTATATTAAGTCCAATTTAATTCGTGTTAAGTCTAATTTTAATTCATGTTAATTTTAATTTTAGTTCATATCAAGTCCAATTTGATTCATGTTAAGTCGAATTTAATTTCATGAACTGAAATTAAACTTAACATGAACTAAAAATTAGACTTAACATGAACTAAATTAGACTTAACATGAACTAAAATTAAAATTAACATGAATTGAAATTAGACTTAACACGAATTAAATTGGACTTAAAATAAAATTAGACTTAAAACAAGTTGAACTAGACTTAACATGAACTGAAATTAGACTTATCATGAACTAAAATTAGACTTAAGATGAACTGAAATTAGACTTAACATGAACCAAATTGGACTTAACATGAAATTAGACTTAACATGAACTGAAATTAGACTTAACATGAATCAAATTAGACTTAACATGAATCAAATTAAACTTAACATGAAATTAGACTTAAAGTAAGTTGAATTAGACTTAACATAAACTGAAATTAGACTTAACATAAACTAAAATTAGACTTAACAGGAACTAAAAATTGGACTTAGCATGAACCAAATTAGACTTAACATGAAATTAGATTTAAAATAAGTTGTATTATATTTAACAGGAAATAAATTAGACTTAACATAGACTAAAATTAGACTTAACATGAACTGAAATTAAGTTGGACTTAAAATGAAATTATACTTAATATGAATCAAATTGGATTTAAAATGGGATTATACTTAAAATAAGTTAAATTAGACTTAATAGGAAATAAATTAGGCATAACATGAATTGTTGTTTGACTTAACATGATTTAAATTAGACTTAAAATGATCTAAATTAGACTTAAAATAATTTAAACTGGACTTAACACGAACCAAACTGGACTTAACACAAACTAAACTGGACTTGACTGATCCCTCGACTAGAACTCCGATGAATTTGAGGGTCTTTTTTTGTTTTGAGGTGAAAAGAAAGAGAAAGTAGTGAAATTTAGTGGGGGAATAGGAGCGAACAACATGACCGGAATGGGCGGAACCATGTTAAGTCTATTTCAACTTATTTTAAGTCTAATTCCATGTTAAGTCTAATTCAACTTGTTTTAAGTCGGGAAATAAGTTAAAATAGACTTAACATGATTTAAATTAGACTTAAATTAATTTAAATTAGACTTAAAATGATTAAATTAGACTTAACATGAACCAAACTGGACTTAACATGAACCAATTTGGACTTAATATATAATCTGTTGTACTTAATATTCAACAAATTAGACTTATTATTCAACCCAATAGACTTAACATACATGCCATTAGACTTATTATTTAACCCAATAGATTTAATATTCCACTTTGGACTTGAACTTAACATCAAAAATTATTCAAAAAATCACATTGAGCCAGTATATCTTTAAATCTTTCATCTTTCCACAATGTTCAAATAGAAATTATAAATTTTTTTAAAAAAAAACCGATAGCTTGGGTGTTTTGTGGAACTTGTGGCAACATCGAGCTCCTTCTCGTTCTCCTCCGCACCGCCTCCTCCGCCATGTTCTTCGTCACCTCTTCGCCTTCAGTGTTGGGGAAATTTGGGGCTTTTTTAGTTTTGGGAGAAAGAAAGAGAGATCGGGGAAACTTAGTGGGACAAAAGGAGCAAGCAATATAGCCAGAGCGTATACGCAAGGTTGGCGGCAGCGGAGAGGGATGTCAGCGTTTGAGAGAAAAAAGGAGGAAGAGAGAGAGGAAGAAGTAAATGGGTTAGGAGAGAGGAGAAGAGGAAGGAGGACCACATTTAGATTTGGAGAGAAGGAAGAGAGCGGAAGAAGATGATATTTTGGGCTTTTATATCTATTTCTCTCTCTTTCTGCTTAGTTGACATGATAATTCATGAAAAAATAGCTAAATCACATAGATCTATAATTTAGGTGCTGCAACACATGGGGAAAAGTTAAAGAGGTCAAGTCACATAAAAATATTACTTTTGGGACCTTGACACAATTTTCTCTTAAAGGGGCTGTTTGGTTCGTTTCCTTGATATAGAGAAATGCAATTCCATGTAAAGAAACACAAGTTTTGAGTTTTCCAAACTTTTTCAAGAAATAGATTGTTTTGCTTTGGTTCGCACATAAAAAATGCTGGGAAACCAATGTATTTATTTTTCTTGTGTTTGGTTCGCAGAGAAAAAAAAAGAAAACTTTTATAAACAAAGCAGAGAAGGAAAAAATCTGACGTAGCAGAGTTTTCATCAATTTCACTTGGTTGGGGAAGGAAATCAGAGAGGGAAAAAAATCTTAGTTGGCGGCGATTTCAGCAGAGTTTTCCCTCTTCCATTCGAGCGAACCAAAGCGGCACAAAGAAATGGACGGAAACAAAAAAGCTGACGTGGAGGGCTAAAAATCTGACGTAGAGGGGTTTTCTGAGTTTTCCACCCCTTATAATAGCGAACCAAACAGCGCCAAAGATAAGGGCTTTTGAAAAAAAGAAAATTCTTACATTAAAAAAGGTAATTTTTTTATTCTTTCCATTTTACATTTCCCCTTAATTCATTTTGCTCATTAATAAATTTTTCTTTACTCATAAATTACACCCCAATTCCTCTCCTTCCCCCATTTTCTAGGGTTAGGGTTTCTAAAATATCTGCTACCCTCATTCGCAAGTCCATTTCCCCGCTCCCATTCGAGCTTGGCTTCGATCCGCGATACTTTCGAAGAAAAATTCGCTGTTGAAAGATTAAGGTTTTGTTTAATCTCAAAACCCCCAATTTTCTTTCTTAATGCTGAAAAGATTGGATTTTTGAAACATGCAGCTATCAGATTCGCGGTGATCGTCTAAATGTCTGTTGTTTCCGGTGAAGTTTGCTTCCGTTGACTGATTAATTTCCTTAAATTCCCAATTTTTAGGGTTAGGATATCTTCATCATGAGTAGATCGAGACCTAATGAAGAGAAATTGCAAGACCTTGAGCTCAGACTTGCTCCATCGTTCTTGAAGGAAAGGGCATTGGGGTTTTTAAGACGTAGTAGTCCAGAGTTCATAATCATTGACGACGATGATGAGGATGAAGTGGAGCAAGTGCATGCTCCCACTTCTTCAAGAGAGGTATTTGATCATATTTCAGCGTTTTTTTTCCTTTAAAAGTTTACTTCTTCCATCATGCTCTTGATGAACATTATCTGTATCGTTGGATTTTGCAGACGAGAAGGTTCTTTCCTTGTCCGAGTTCATCAGTGACTGGGATTTCAGAAGGGGATTTAGAACTTCGGCTTACTGTTGGGGGTGAGTTTCAATGTTGATTATTTAATTGTTCATCATAGGCCAAGTCTTGTTTGGGTGCTGAAAAGGTTCTTGCAAAATATGCTTCGAGTTTTATCTGAACTGAACAGGCTATAGGTGTAATATTACTTTAACGCAGTCTACGAGGGTCATGAGTCAATGTATCAGTTTCGGAGTGCTTATAAACCATTCTCAAGCCACCAATGAGGAATCCTAAACTGTAGAGCTATGATATGAAAGTTTGCTATCAGATTGTAACTCATTTTGTGAGATTAAAACATGTCAGAGAAAAAAGAGAAAATAAGTTAAAGCTCATAGTTTTTTTAAAAAAAATTCCGGACATGCATGCTTCTGTCCATCGATCTGTTTTTCTCCTTAAACATTACTTTCCCGTTCACCTAAAATACTACCAGTATTTATAAACACTCCAAACTGATATCTTTTCCAGTTCTTGTGTGATCATCTTTGAAAAGATTCTCCAACAAATTCTGATAAAATATTTCTTGTCATATGAATTCACAATGCATCAACTTTGTGAAACCTAGACTTTTGCAATTGAAGCTTCACTTGTACGGTTAGCTTGTCGTAAAATCCTTTTTGCTATTTGCTACTTCCTTGAAAGGAAATTTTCTTATTATTCTTCTACTGAAGAGCACAGATAATTGCTATAATTGAAGTCCATAGTCATGTACTAGGCACCTTAAAACGTCTATTTAATATCTTTAGTTTGTATTTTTTCTGAGGACAGAGACCCTTGACCCAAGTTCCCAATGTATGGGTAATGTGACATGTGGATTAAACCATGTAAGAGCAGGGCCTGCAAAGTATGGTTGTTCATAAAAACCCATATCTTTTTTGTAGTTTGGCACATAATTTGAATGTTTGAAGGCTTGTTGCCCCATCCAAGCTGCGTTTTAAGATAAATAAAAAGTGAATTATGCGCCCCTTCTCTTAAAAAGAAACCATGAAGATAGGTAATTTAGATGTTTCTTTACTGTTGGATCTTTTGCAACTCTCATATGAGAAGTATAATATGTTTCTTTAACTTTTAGTTATAAGATGTTCAATTTTATATATATCATTATCAGCAATGTTTTCACTAACAAATCTAATCAAACCGACTATAAAGGAGGAGAACTGAATGAAACTAATGGAGAAGAAGTGGATGTTATTGTTAAAAAGAATTGTTGAATAGATAGTTCCAAGTTCCAAGATGAAGCTCTTTTAACAGCCATAGGATGGATTAATGATATATTCAAGATTTTGAGGATCATGATGCCATCATCCCTTTACCCTTTAGTTTCGAACGACAAATTCTGCTGTTACATGATAGATAATGTATATAAAGCTTAGGTGGAAAAATACAAAATAGCAATATCTACCTGACATATACGTTTGATGAGGATCAAGGTTTTAAATATCGGATGTCGGGTTTATGTCGGATGACTAAAATTCATGTCGGATAGCGGAAATCGAGGATATGTCGGGGAACATGAAAAAATATCGGATTGTCATATCGGATGATGTGCATGTGTAATAAATATCATAAATAAAATCTAAACAGACTTAAAAAAATCTATTGTCTAAACATATAAAAAAGTGAATAACTTATGATGCTTATGTTTGATGTTGAAGGAAAGAGGTGAGAAAAGAGGACTCTGATATTAGCGGTTAAGAAAAAGAAGATCGCTCGATATTGATGTCGAAGAAATAGCTCGGAGAAGAGACTGATGAGATGTCGAAGGAGAGAGAGAAGATGAGCGATGGATATTACTTCGGTCTTTTTTTCCATTTCCCTTAACTTATCGGTTTTTGTCTTTGGAAGTAATATTAAGACAATCAAGAATTTAAACTCAAACCTGATTAAATAAATATAATAAAAATAATAATAATAATATCAGCCAATTTTTCAGATTGTAAAATTGGCCGACATAACTGATATATCACTCGACATATCCGCCCGATATATCCGACATGTCGCCCGATATATCCAACATGAACTTTGAAAACACAATACGCATTGAAAAACTCCATATCGTATCGGTTGGCCCCTAAATCTGACATGCCGGCCGATATTTCCAACATGTCGGCCGACATTTAAAACACTGATGAGATAGAACCTTTTAGTTTCTTATGGTTCTGATCTTTTGACATCCATAATCTTGAGGTTTTGCTATGCCATCTGATGAAACTGAGGAAGGGCTCAATTGCAGATCTTTTATTAATAAGAGTTTCTAGAATCAAACATTATATAATTACCTAGTCAGTTCTGGATTCCAAAATCAGGTTTAATTAGTGTTGGTTATATAATGCTATGTCATATAATTAGTCATGTACTCCTTATTAAAGTTGAATATTCCATTGTCTTAGTTTTTCCTTCCTCTTCATTGTGTTCTTTATTGTTCTGTTTGCATAAGGACAACATTTAGTATTCTTATTTATCTCCCTTAAGAATTTTTTTTTTTCAAAAGCCTTGTAATATTGTGAGCCTTAGGTTACATTTCAATCAAATCATGGGTTGCCCTGGCATGCAAAATAATTGACAATGCATGACGCTTGTCTAAATTATCAACCTACTACGAGTGAACACATAGTATGAAGTTAATTTAAGAACTTCTCTCAAATTTGAAAAGTTGTTATTGCCAGGTTTGATTGTGAAAGATACCAATTCTTTTGATTGCATCATATCAGATTCTAAGTATGTAGATATAGTTGAGGTGAAACGAGTCGATGGTCCACATTGGTTAATAACCTCTAATATCGGAGAAGATTTTTGAGGTGTGAATTATCAAACAAATAGAAATCTTGTGATTAAACTGTGATTATTCCATGTCACAGTTGAAAGATCATTCAGTGATCAAATTTTTGAAGCTTGAAAATCCAGTGTAGATGCAGAAAATTGTTCCTTCTAGATCCACAGTAGGAATCATTTTGTTAGAAAATAAATTAAAATCAAATTGAGTGATTTTGTTGGATTAATCTCATATTATTTGGCCTAGTTCACCACAATACCTTATATCATATATATTTAATAACTTTAATAAGGTTTTTAAACCCTTAGATGGTAGCAACCCAATTACTCAGATTGGAAATGTCAAAACTGCTGAAACTCCTTACTAGTATCAACATGATGAATAGAACTTGCGATCAACACTACAATTTCAGACCTGTGTTACAACCACATAATGACCATGTCTTTGAGGCTTCTGGCTTGACTGATGTTCTGATCACAATGATGTTGTGATATTAACTTGAGATACTGGGAGAATATAACACAGATTTCTAGCATTTTCATCATTTGTTTTGCTGGATGCTCGTGCTCTTTTTTTCTTTTATGTGCATGTGGGTAGTTGTTGACAAACTGGTTATGGCTTTTGTTTGCTCTGTGTATGTGGGTATTTATTTACATAATTCAGGTTCCTTTTTCCTTCTCTATTCTTCTTGCTTTGTAGGCTGATTTTCATGTTCTGGTTTAGAGTGTTTGTCTGTGTATGTTCCAAAAAAAATGCAATTTCTCATAGCCTAATTGCTCAAGACATGTTGCAATTTATCTTCAGTCTATGTTTTGGTTGAAAGTATTGCTTAAAACTTAAGGTATCTATTGCTCCAGCAGTTTGCATTAAGTTGGTGGACTTGCTGCTTTGGTTCTCTTTTGATCACTTATACACACACACATACACACACATACACAAGATAACATTTTCCATCTTTAGATATAAGGATGAATCTCATTTTCTACACATAACTTTTGGTGAGTGTACATCATGAAACATAAAGATCAAGATGGTGGCGCTGTTGGTAACAACTAAAGGGGGAAAGAAGTTAAAGTCACCTCAGAGAAAATTTCCTCCTGCAGTAAGGGATACTCATTAATCTCCTGTGCTTGTGTGTATTTGTGTGGAAGTGAGATATTAGTTCTTATTTTATCTCTATCAGAGTCTGCTATTTATTAATTAATCTTTGTAAGAAAAAGTAGCAAGTGTTCATGGAAATTCTCGGCGCATGCTAATGTTGTTTCCTGGGTCTAGGCTATAAAGGTGATAGGTTTCATATCAGATACCCTTTTCCTTGTATGCTCTCCATTTCATGCTCTAAAGAAGGTCACTCTGCTGGAAGTTGTTAGATGTGAATATTGTTGTTGGCAATTTGACATGCGCCAGTTGTTCTAATTAGCAATGAAAATATTTGCACGCGTTAGAAATAATTCATTTTCTTCAGGTTTGTGGGATTGTCTAAGGACGTGAATGACTGTCAACTGACAAAAGCCAAGTCCTGGTAAATGGTCCATTACTCTATTTAGAACTTTTTTGCTGTATCTTGAGTGTTGCATTTTCATCATAATTGTGGCTCCGGTTCGACATTGTGCATAGAGCTATTTTTCTCTCAGTTAATTCCAAGGAGGTCTTATCTCTTGAACAATGTTTAAACACTTGCTATTAATTGATATGCCAGATTCAGTGGTTCAGATGTTGATCTACCCAATCTCAAAAACCCTTTTCATAGGATCAGTTGATATTGATGAATGATGAGTGGCACATTGCTGACATATATCCAATGAGGCCTTACTCTTGAACAATTTTTAAACAATTGCCATAAATTGATATGTCAGGTTCAGTGGTTCAGATGTTGGTCTACCCAATCTCAAAAACCCTTTTTATAGGATCAGTTGATATTGATGAATGATGAGTGACACATTGCTGGCATGTATTATTTCATTCTGGTTCAGTCTAATAGAACTATAAATCTTCATTCATCACATTCCTTTCACAGCCCAACCTAATAAAAGAGCTTGTTTTGAATTGACTATTGATTTTGAAAGTCTTGGTGCATGTATTGGTAATATTTAAACCTTAACTACTTCCTTTTTTCACATGTAACTTCCTTATACTGTTCTTCAAATGAATTATTTCTTTTTCTTAATTTCTGAACGGCTTTTCCAATCCGATTATAAGCATCCATGTCATGAGAATAACATCATAGATAATGCTTGAACACTTGTATCTCCTTAAAACAAGATTTTAAGGTATTGCTTCATCTTTACATTATTTTAGGTGGTTATTATTAAATAATACAACATAGTTTATGTTTTTGGTGTGCTATTGCTTCAGAGGGATGGAGGCTTGTCTGTCATTGAATTTTTTATCAAAGTACTGAAGAATGACTTTGTAAGTTTTAAATGTTAATCTCTTGAAGCTTCTGGTTTTCTCATGTATTTAGTTTTTGGCAGCATCTAATGGATCTTCTGGGAATAAAGATTGCGGAGATGCAAGTGCCAGGAAATGTTGTGAGGTATGAACCCTTTATTATCCTATTCTTCAAGTGATTGTATTAGTTAGGAGTACACCATCCTATACACAAGTAATAACTTGGAGTTTCTCTATTAACAAGTTAACACATCTAATTAGGTAATTTAAACATGAACTATATTTTATTTCAAATCATGCAACTGGATTCTTTTGGTGGTAGTATCAATCTTAGCCATTTAGAATTTAATTGTTGTTTACTTATTTATATTGACAGTAAGGCAACTGGATGCTTTATGTCTGTCTATTAAAACTAACACTTTCTGTTCAGAAGTCCTATAGATGGTCTCTATGTTTCTCAGAAGGCATACCCCTCAGAGGCTAAAATAAAATTAAGAATTTTTGTTTGGGATTTTTTCCCTAGAAAAAATCAAAGGAAAAAATCAAAGAGGCATTACATTCCTGTTTGGGAGTTTCAAAGTAAATCATGACCATCTGAAGCTTCCTCAAGTACTTGGTTTCACTGAAAAGGTGTACTGCTAAATTGTAGTTCCCCCTTCTATATTAACTTGGAAAAATGAACATCGTGAGTACTGCTTTCAGCTTTGTTTAATTGCATTGGTTCTCATATTGTTCATCCGAGGTAAGTTTGGTCAAGGTTACTAAAATGGTGAAGTCGGTTTTACTCAGCTAAAATTAGGTTCAGGTGCTAGTTAACTCTAAGTAATCTGCTTGTAAATTTATTAACCCACCTTCCTTGCTTTCCATTCTACGTTTTCACAAAATTAATCCTTTTTTTAAGTTTTATTGTACAATTCACTTTAATTGTTTTCACTCTGGTGCAGCACTGTCACAAACATGAGCTGTGCCTGTTTTCCAGCAGAGTCCTGAGTCTCATCTGTGTTTACTTTCTGAAAATTCCAAAATGTGATCCTTCCAAAATGGAACCAGGCTCGCATTAAGCATTAATGTTTTAGGCTTCTTGTTTGGTTGGAGGGGGAACGAGGAGGTACATCTCTTTTTCTTGTTTTGCTAGAGAGATGGGAAGGGGAGGTGAGGTGCTGAGTTAGTTAAATTACAATACTACTATTATAATTGGGGAATATCTTTTTAAAAGAAAAGGATCGATTTTGAAATCATGAGAAATATGGGCGGGCATAGAACTCATTACAATATAACCCGTTTGTCATCCCTCACTGTTCGCTGTCCCTCCGATTTGAGGGGATTGTGAATAGTAATCATTTTATGCTTCTTTTCATTTTCCCTCTCCTTCCCTTCACCTTCTTCTCTAGAAACCTCCTACCAAGGGCAATTTCTTGTTTTGTCCCTCACCTGACCTCATTCTACCCCCTGCCAAATCAACCATAAGAGGGTGTTTAGGGGAGCTTATTCTTTGGTCATCGCAGATTTTAAGCTAGATTTTTCTTATCTACCTGTTCGGTAAATCCCCAATAAGCTAGCTTGTAATTTCCCATGTTAAAAAGTCGAGATTCCCCAACTTGAGGAAAACTAGCTTATAGGCTCATCTCAATAAGTTAGGTTTGATCAAGTAATTAACTAAACTACTCATACAAATTCTATAAAAATTTTTATCAAGTAATTAACTCCATAAAAATTTTATCGTAAAAGCCAAAAGCTATCAAAAGCTAGCATATCTTAGCTTCAAAAATGAGCCCTTCCAAACACCCTCTAAAAGGCATCAGAACATAAGGTCATGCATGTAATAATATGAATTTTGAGGTATTAAATTTTAAATGAATATTTAGTAAGCAAACGAATCGAATACGTAGATGTCTTATATTTTTGATTCATTTAATGTATCAACACCATTTTGATCTCTCTTAAATGACACCGAAGCAAATTTGAACAAATGGTTAGATGAATAATTATAATATTTGATAATCATTCAATCAACTTCCACCTCTACTGGTAATTCATCTTTTTCCTGACAATTTCTTTGTAGTGCGGGCAGGCATCAAAAGGCCACTTCACTGAGGTGAAACTAAGATGTGCTATATGTATGGACACCATGAAGGAGGAGACATCAACATTGTGCGGGCACATCTTTTGCAAGCCTTGCATCACAAACAGCATCCTAGAACTCAAGAAATGCCCAACCTGTCGAAAGGAGCTCTCTCTCGGGAGCATCCACCGTATTTTTCTTCCCGGGGCGACTTCTTGACGACCTCAAACTGTATTTATGCAAAAATGTTTGATCATGTTGTTCATCGATATGTCCTTGTCTGTGGTTCTAAATCCTAGAGGGGTCATCAAAGTGCTCCTAAAGTTATCGAAATCCTCTAAAGACCTCTTTGAAGTGCTCTAAAGTTATCGAAATCCTCTAAAGACCTATTTGTTAGTTTGTGGGGTTTAGAGTGGAATGGTTGAATACCCAGGAAACGGTTTGTTGTAAGTTGTAGGGCTAAGATAGTGGTAGAAATGTTAATGTTAAAGCAGATAATATGTTCAAAATGGAATGTTGATGTTAAAGCAGATACTGAGTTTTGTTAGAATTCAGTTTTTTGTAATTGCTTTTTGGCAAATATTTGTTTCCTTTGCTCCTTTTAGTTCCTTCGAGGCTGTCTACCTGTTTTTCAAAAGAATTTCCTTTGAGCTTCAGGGAAAATATATGGTTATCGTAATTATTTAGCATTACCGTTGTAAGTTAATATTATTATCATCGATTTTTCCTGGTATCAGATATGTTACTGCTGATATTAGTATTTTTTTTTCAATTACATTTTCAGGTTCCTTTTAAAGCTTGAAACTGCAGGATTAGCATGTGTGTATAGTTTCATGATTTAGATGAATGTTTGAAACTTTCAAGTGATGATGATGCATGACTTTTTTACTATGGGAAACCTCAAAATGCTGAACAACCTTTGAATTCTCTGTTCTTTCAGCAGCTGCCACTTCTAGCGTATGAGTGAACTTATAGATGAAGTGAAAACTATATAGAGAATAAGACCAGGATTTGCATGTGTGCAGGTTGGATCTTTGTTTATGGTATGATCCTTCGAGTGGCAATGTGGAGGAGCAAGAAATGAGTAACGTAATCAGCCTATCCTTCAGTCTACTTTTACTGTGAGGAGGATTTTGATCAAGTTTCCAATTGCTAATAAAAGCCAGCATTTCTGCCAAGTTTCCAATCAATAATACATGCTTTATATGGCTTTTGCAATATTTAGTTTAGACCAGAGCATAGCTTTTCACTCAAGCAAATCATACTGATACAAAGTTCTTCTGACCGTCAAAAAGCTCATGGTGCACCAGTCTTGTTCCGGAAGAAGCACGATGGCTCGTCGTGATTGTGCATGGACTACAAGGTGTTGAACAAGATCACGGGTGAAGAATATGGTCGCGATTGTGCATGGACTACAAGGTGTTGAACAAGATCACAGGTGAAGAATATGGTGGCAGACTTTTTCGAGAGATTGGGCAAGCGAGGTACTTTAGTAAGCTGGACCTTAGAACGAGCTACTACCATGTACGGATTGAGAAGGGAGATGAACCAAAGACGGCATGCGTACCTGAGTATGGATCATATGAGTTTTTAGTTATGCGTTTTGGACTAACAAATGCACCTGCTACTTTCTGTAATACAATGAACAAGGTCCTAGAGCCCTTTCTAGGTCGATACGTGGTGGTCTATTTGGATGGCATTGTCGCTTACACTCGGACCATGGGGAACACAAGGAGCATTTGGCAAAGGTGTTCCAAGCCTTAAGGAGCAATAAACTCTATGTCAAGAGGAAGAAATGCTCCTTTGCTTAGGAAGAGGTCGCATTCCTTGGGCACATCTTCGGCAAAGGCAATATTACGACCATCAAACCAAAATTCAGGCTATTGACGAGTGGGAGCCACCGAAGTAGGTGACAGAGTTGCAGTCATTTCTCGGCTTGGTGAACTACTACCGATGGTTTATCAAGGGCTATTCCGCATTGGCAGCTTCATTGACCGACTTGCTAAGAAGAATCGGACATGGGAATGGGACCCTAAGTGCTAGTAGGCCTTTCAGGTGTTGAAGAAAGCCGTAACGGAGGAACCGGTTCTCGCACTTTTCGACTTCAGTAAGCCTTTTGAGGTGCACACTGACACAAGTGATTATGGTATCGGTGGGGTGTTTATGCAAGAGGGAGACACTATTGCTTACCAGAGTCAGAAGTCAAACGACACTGAGCGAGAGGTACACAGTCCATGAGAAGGAAATGACTGCAATGTTTCATTGTTTATGAATATGGAGGCACTATCTTTTAGGCTCCAAGTTCACGGTGAAGACGGATAATGTGGCCACTAACTACTTCCAGACCCAGAAGGAGCTATTCCCAAAGCAAGCATGGTGGCAAGACTTCTTGGCAGAGTTCGACTACACTTTGGAGTACAAGTCAGGAAGGACCAATTTGGTGGCGGATGCTTTGAGCCGAAAGGCGGAGCTTGCAGCTATGATTAGCCAACCACAGAGCTACTATTAGACGACATCAAGGAAGGTTGGCTCATGACTCTACGGTCATGTCCTTAGTGATCTATGCTACGAAGGGCAAAACGTGGAGATTTTGACTTTAGGATGGATTATTATATAGCAAGGAGAGATGGTTATATGTGCCTCTGTTCGGGAATCTAAGGCAGGAACTCATGAAGGAGTGTCATGACTCTCAGTGGGCGGGACATCCAGGCGTGCACTGTACGTTGGCATTCTTGGGTGAGACCTATTATTGGCCTCACGTGCGGGAGGATGTAAAGGTCTATGTCAAGATTTGTCTTGTGTGCCAACAGGACAAGATAGAGCAAAGAGCACCAGCAGGATTGCTTGAGCCACTACCTATTTTGGAGCGACTGTGGGAAATAATATCTATGGATTTCATCATGGGTTTGCCTAGGTCAGGTGTGTGTTGCATCATAATGATAGTGGTTGATTGGTTCTCCAAATATGAGATCTTCATCCCGCACCAGCTAAGTACCTGGCGGAAATGGTGGTCCCTTTGTTCCTAAAGCATGTGGTGAAGAATTGGGGATTGCCTCGGTCCATTGTGAGTGACCGAGATGCTTGGTTCACGGGCAAATTCTGGTCTGAGTTGTTCAAGCTGTTATAGTGGGACCTGAACTTCGCCACCATTTTTCATCCTCAGACGGATGGGCAAATGGAGAGGGTGAACGGCTTGTTGGAGGTCTACTTGAGGCACTATGTCAGCATCAACCAGAGGAATTGCGCGAAGTTGCTTGATATAGCCCAATTTTCCTACAACTTGCAGTGGAGTGAGTCTACGGGGAGGAGTTCGTTCGAGATTATGCTTGGTAGCTAACCCCTTACTCCGAACAACATTACAAAAGGCTACAAGGGGAGTAGTCCAGCGTCCTACAAATTTTCTAGGGGATGGCAAGAGCAGAACGAGCTGGTGCGCTCATGTCCTATGAAGTGAAGCACATGTCCAATGAAGTTGAGGTTGGAGTTTTGGTCCTTGTCAAGCTATCTACAATTGATCGACACAAGGGATTGCACAAGAGCTTGATAAGGAAGTATGAGGGCCCATTTTCAACTGTGAAGAAGATGGGGAATGTTGCCTACAAGGCTGAACTTCCCCTAACATTCCACTACCATCCAGTCTTCCATGTGAACATGCTAAAGCCATACCATGAGGATGTGGATGACTCAAGCCGTGGGAGATCGAGTTGAGCACTAGCTAGGGTTCGCACGGAGTTCGACAAGGAGGCCGAGGAGATTTTGGCGGACATGATGGTTCGGGAAGTGAATAATAGGCAACATCTAGAGTACTTTGTTCGCTATAAGGGATTGCCCAATAGCGAGTGTTTGTTGGAAAAATTCGATGTAAAAGAAATGAAAGAAAAATTGATTTGTATTCTCTTAAAATCGATTATAATTTGGATTCCGATTACAAAAGAGAGGAGAATGAATTTGATTCTCCCCTTTGTTTAAATCTGGGTTCTTCACGGTGGCGATGGAGTGCCTCCCTCGAATGCTTGCGTCGAGTTTCTCCGTTGACGATCCGCACGCCTTGATTCACTGGAACGATATCACCTCCTCACGATTTGACGTTGTGGAGAACTTGTGTGGCAAGTTTTAGAACTCTGGACGAGTTGATAACTCTGAACGAGTTTTAAACTCTATGAAAGAGTTGATTTGAACCGAAAGTCGGTTATTAAGCCAAGGCTAGAAGAAAGCTCCGGTGGTCGATCGTTGCTGAGGATGAACGTCGATCTCCCTCTTGCTGCCAAGCCAAAAGATCTCCTCTTCGCTGCTGAAAAGAGGATCAATCTGAGCCCAGAAGTTCCCACCCTTCGCTGCCAAGTCCCAGATCCGAAAAAATGCCCGCCTGAACTCCATTGAGTTTACCCATATTTATAAGGAATTAAGGGGTGTAACCGCCCCCTTAATCCGCTCCTAAGTGGGGCGGAAATCCCTCAAATCTTGGAGGAAAAACGGTTCCTGCAACCGTTCAGCTCGTGTTTGAACGAGTCAAACGCTCACGTCGGCGTTCAGGACCCTAACTCTGCGTTTTAGAATGGAGACGCGGAGTTGGATACTCGCTGGGTGCTGAAAAACGCGGGTCCGACCCCAGCGTTTTAATGTTGTAACGCGGGTCCGACTCCAGCGTTTTGATATTGTAACGTGGGTTCGACCCTAGCGTTTTGATGTTATAACGCGGGTCCGACTCCAGCGTTTTGATGTTGTAACGTGGGTTCGACCCTCGCGTTTTGATGTTGTGACGCGGGTCCGACTCCAGCGTTTTGATGTTGACACACGGGGATGACCTCCGCGTTTTGGTGTTGATACACGGGGAGGACCTCCGCGTTTTGGTCTTAGAGTGCGGTGATGAGTTCCGCGTCTTGCTTTGGAGAGATTATCAACAAGTAATCTCTTTTGTCATAGCGTTGCAAAGATCATTGTCTTATAATCTTCATCTTGGCTCCTTGAGAATATGAGAGTCGTCAGATTGTAACTCCCGATATTGATTGTGAATGCTGTTGAACTAGAGCTCTCATCACCTTCTACGTGAAAGTCCTCAAATTGTAGCCTTCTGGAAGTCGTCAGATTATAACTTCCATCATCGGTATTTGATGGGGGATAAGCTATCTATTATGATTTTTAGACAGCCTACAGAACCCCCTCCAAAGTTTTCAAAAGTTCGCGGTTGACTGGGACGAATTTTCAGAATACTTTGGATCTCAACTCTGATCCTGGATCTGTTGATTCCTTGTTGTAAAGAAGTCGTTCTCTGCACTCGCTTCGAAGGTATCTTGGTTGAAGGGATTTGTCATGTAGGACCTGTGTGAAGGTATGCGCCATAATCCTGCTTCTGGAATGTTGGGGTGTATCCCTACGTTTTGAACTTGAGACGCGGGTCTCACCCTTGCATGTTGAATTTGGAACACGGGTGTGACCTTGGCGTTCGGTTTTTTGCATCGCGGGTCTGACCTAAGCGTTTGGTTTTTGCATCGCGGGTCTGACCTCAGCATTTTGACTTAAGACATGGAAGTGGCTTCCGTGCCTTTTTGACTAAGTCTTTGAGACTTGTCTTTAGCTCATCTGTTTCAAGTCCCGGCTCACATCCATTAAGCTAATGGACC